CAGGTGGGGCAATCAAGAATATGAGGCCTATCAGAAGTACTCCAGAAGCTGTTTCCGTGCACCCTGAGGGAGTCCAAGGGAGCTCGGAAGAGGACCCTGATGAAGAAGTAGATCATCTCTACCCAACCAAAGAAGGGAAGCAGAAGGAAATCAAAGAAAGGTCTTCAGCTGTTCCCAAGTGCTTTGGGTGTGGAGGTCGCCACAAGAGGACCGACTGCAGGTTTTGTTCTGCAATCTGTAGAGCATGTGGAAAGCAAGGCCATATTGCAGCTGTGTGCCTGGGCCGTCAGAAGGTACAATCCCGAGAAGAATGCGCCTGAAAGGTACCAGGGTCCCCAGCCAAAACAGGGTGGGTTTCTGTGCTTCACGAAGAAGCAGGCACACACAAGCCACTCAAGAAGAAACTGTCACTTAAAGTGAAGTTGCAAGGAGTTCCATTGGTCATGGAACTAGACACTGGGTCTGCATTTTCAATCATTTCCATTCACACATTCAGAAAGATTTGTTCTGGTAGTGGGTTCCAGGCCACGCTTAGGCCTTCTAATATAGTGCTAACAGACTTCCAAAACTCCAAAGTGTGTGTTAAGGGGAGGCCACCCTTAATGTACAGTATAAGGATTTTGAAGGTCCATTAGATGTATTGATAGTGGGGGGTGAGCGCACGAGTCTCATAGGACTCGATTGGTTTGAGGCCTTGGGAATACAAGTTACAGGACTTAATAGTTTGCAAACAGTAGGTCTACAAGAAGTCTGCAAAGAATTTGCAGATGTCTTCAGCCCACAGCTGGGTACATACAAAGGGCCCCCAGTTTCCTTAAAATTGGACCCCACTGTCACTCCTATCAGAGTAAAAGCAAGGAGAGTACCTTTTGCTTTAAAAGGGAAAATTGATGCTGAATTGGACAAATTGATTCAGCAAGGAGTCTTAGAACCTGTTGACTCCAGTCCGTGGGAAACTCCCATAGTCACGCCTCTTAAGGCTAATGGGGACATTCACATCTGTGCAGATTACAAATGCACTCTAAATATGCCTATCCTGTACCTGTAGTCAGCCATATTCTGGCTTCCCTCAAAGGGGGACGTGTTTTTGCAAAGCTTGACTTAGCACAAGCTTACCAACAGTTGCCTGTTGATGAAGCTGCTGCTGTAGCACAAACCATTGTAACACACAGGGGGGCATTCAAAGTCAAAAGGCTACAGTTTGGAGTAAATGTGGCTCCTGGAATTTTCCAAAGCGTAATGGAAAATACATTAAGGGGTATACCAGGGGTTTGCCCCTATTTTGATGATGTCTTAATTGCTGGAGATTCCACTCAAAATTTAGCTGAGAGATTGAGGGCTATCTTGCTGCGGTTCCGGAAAACGGGCCTCAAACTCAAAAAGGACAAATGTAAAATTGGGGTGCCTTCTACAGATTTTCTGGGGTTCAAAATTGATGCCAATGGGATTCATCCTGCTGAGTCCAAATTAAAAGCCATCATGCAAGCTCTTAGGCCTAAGTCCAAAGCTGAACTACAAGCTTTTCTGGGCCTCTTGAATTTCTATAATTCATTCATTCCTAACAAGGCTAATGTAGCTGAACCACTTCATAGGCTTCTGGACAAACAGGCAGTGTGGCAGTGGTCACAAGCACATGAAGCAAGCTTCAATGAGGTTAAGGCCTTACTCACATCCAACAATGTGCTTGCACACTTTAATGAAACTCTCCCTGTGTGCATCGCTTGTGATGCTTCCCCTTATGGGGTGGGAGCAGTACTCAGCCACCTTAGACCAGATGGAACTCAGGTTCCTGTTGCGTATTACTCCAGAACCTTGTCTTCTTCTGAACGAAACTACGCCCAGATAGACAGGGAGGCCTTAGCTGTTGTTGCTGGAATTAAAAAATTCCATGATTTTTTATATGGCAGACATTTCATGGTCTACACTGATCATAAGCCTCTGTTGGGTTGTTTACCACAAACAAACAAACTCCCCATATCATCTCCCCCAGGATGCTGAGATGGTCAATCTTTCTGTCAGCCTATGATTTTTCTTTAATTCACATACCTGGCAAAGAAATGGGCCATGCTGATGGCCTCAGTAGATTACCCTTGCAAGTAGTAGAGGCTGATCCTGCCCCTGCCATCAACATCCTTTCTATTCAGGCACTGCCTGAGTCACCTTTAAATGCCAGGGATGTGGCTGCTGAATCAGCCACAGATCTTAAACTCTCTCGTGTCTTATCCTGGGTTTTGTCTGGATGGCCAGAGAGTTGTCCAGGCACTGAGTTTCAGAGTTTCTGGCTTAAGAGACATGAATTATCCACTTTTCAGTGTTGTCTGCTGTGGGGCAGCAGAGTTGTCATTCCTACCTCAATGAGGTCTAGAGTCTTAGGTTCCCTTCACGAGGGTCATCCTGGCATTGTACGAATGAAGGCGCTTGCGCACAGCCATTTGTGGTGGCCTTGGTTAGACAGGGAAATTGAGGCTAAGGTGCACGCATGCCACCTTTGTCAGCGCTCACGCCTGGAAATGCCCCAGGCTCCTGTACATAGATGGGAGGAAACGCAGTCACCATGGTCTAGAGTGCACATTGATTATGCTGGGCCCTTTCAGGGTCAATTCTTCTTGGTCCTGGTTGATAGCCATTCAAAATGGCTTGAGGTTGTACCTGTCTCTTCCACCACCACTGCAAAGACCATTCAAGTACTGAGGGGGATTTTTGCTGCACATGGGCTTCCGGATGTTTTGGTGTCTGACAATGGCCCTCAATTCACTTCTTCCGAATTCCAAGCTTTCTTACAGGCCAACATGATTCGTCATGCCACCTCTGCGCCTTTCCACCCTTCCACCAACGGTATGGCTGAATGGATGGTCCGCATCAGCAAGAATGCTTTAAAGAAACTGACCTATGGGGACTGGCACCACAGGTTGGCAGATTTTCTCCTTGCTTACCGCACCACACCTTCAACTTCTATTGGGAGAAGCCCGGCTGAACTTCGATGGGGGCGCAAACTGACTACTAAACTTGACCAGTTACACCCGGACAGACTGCCTCCTAGGGGTACACAACCCAGGGCACCAAGGCAATTGCAAGTGGGTGCCCCAGTATGGACCCGTAACTACGGGCCAGGTCACTTGTGGGTTCCTGCTCTAGTTTGCAAGGTGTCCTACGAGGTTTCCTCGACCAGCTGAGTACAAGACTAGACTTACCTTCAGAGACTCCTGGTTCTGTTCCGGGGGGGGGGAGGGGGACCTCTACAGGCAAAGGGAGGGGTGTTGGCAGCAGCCAGGCACCAACAGAGAGGCCACAGACAGCCTATCACAAGATTCCGCGAGTGTTCCAAACAGGAATTCGTGGGAACCAGCTAGCACACGGGCACTAGTACCTACTCCAGCCAGGGAGTCACCCCGGGGGCATAATCATTATTCACTAACACCATTCAGCACTCCAGTCAGGGAGAATAACCGGGAGCATCCTAATAACTCACACCTTGCAAGAGACCTGGCACACAATCAGTCTAGTTGGCCCAGCACTGCTACTGTTTCCAGAAGGAGGCATTCACATGGGGAGGTGGTCAGAAGGACAAACCCAAATTCTGACATCTCCGGCGTAATTGAGGGGGTAACTGAGTTTTGGGACAGTACTGGAACCCCCAGACTAGAACTGGGGAGTGGAGGAAGGCAGCCTCATGAGAGGTCCAGTATGGGCCAGGGAGGCTTTACAGAGTTGCCCACCAGTGGCAGTCTTCTAGAGGGGCGAGAGAGCCTGCAACTAGGCAAGTCAACCAGGTTATGGAGAGAACAAAGTCCTGGTCTGACGAGCCTGGTGGGCAAGCAAGCAGACTAGGCGACAGGGCACGGTCCATGGGGACCACCAGGGTTCAAGAAAGGGGGCGAATCCATGTCATCCCCGGGGCAAAATGTAAGTGGAGATTGTCAGGGCTTAAGGAGATCACAGAGAGCTAAAAGATCTCCTAAGTATCTTGAAGATTTTGTAACTCTGCTGGCAAAGCAGAAACAGTAAGAGGAAGTTTCTGTGGAAAAACTAGAAATATGGGCACTGGGGGAGTTAATCTCCAGAACAATAGCCCGGCACCATTGGAGCAAGGGTGGCACACCACGCTCGTGTTGAGGTCGCGTGTAACTATTCATGTAGTTGTAGTCTTAGCCGGGGGGGAAGGGGTGTTGTGTCCTGAGCCTGTAAAGGCTGGCTCGGGATGTTGCAATGGTCCCGGGCAGTTGCAAGCTGCCCGGGACCAGACTGGCTGGCGCTGGCACTCGCGCACATGCGTGAGGCGCGCAGTGCGCCTAAATGTTGCCGTTTGGCCCGGGGATTGTCTTTAAGAGAGTCTGAGAGGCTTGTGTGCCTCTGAGTTGTAACGGGGCTACAGAACAACAAATAAAGAGGCTCCTGAAACTACGAGATGCTTCATGAAGTTATTGCCATTAACCAAGGACTCAACAATAGCTAACTGACTTATCTCTTGAAAAAGCAGAATACAGGAGAGTAACAGACAAATGCTTTGGGGGAGATAGGGATGCTAAGCCATCCTTTGCATGATCATGATTCAGAAGACACATTTTTTCCTACCTAATCGTGATCACAGAAAACTGAAATCCTTTTCAATTCCATCCTAAATATCCTAGCAAAATCTACAGATAGGTAGTCCTTGACTTGCAACCACAACTGAGACCGGAATTTTGGTCACTAAGCAATGTGGTTGTTACATGAGTCATCCCATGACTGAACCCAATTTCAGAAACATTTTTACCACGGTTATTAAGTGAAATTAATTGTTGTTGTTAAGTGAATAACACAATCGTTAAGTGAGTCCAGTTTCCCCATTGAATTTACTTGTCAGAAGCTGGCTGAGAACATCACAAATTGTGATCTCGTAACCACAAGATGCCACAAACCTTGTAAGTGTGAGCCAATTGCCAGGTGCTGGAATGGCAGTCACATAGAGTTGGGGGGTGGTTTGATGGTCGTTAACTTCGAGCACAAGTTGTAAGTCACTTTTTTCAGCATAATCATAACTTTGTGCCATAATTAAATGAAAATTGTAGTCTACAGTACCCATACTCATTCTTTCACTTAGACTGAGCCAATCACCAACATTTGTCACTACCTGCAAACATCACAAGTGCTGTTATTTTATTTCTTGCTCCCAGAAAAACTCTGATTACAGAGCAAGAGAAATTCACCTTGTTCTGCCCTGAGTTGTTTCCATAAAACGCACTATGGTAAGGATTCTAATTTTAATTGGTCTCTAAAACAATCTAGCCTACTTAGGCCATAGTTAACTGTAAACTTCAGATGAGGTTTGAAATATGAATTAACTCCACCAGATCAGACTCATTGGGAAGCAGGAATCTTCCAAAGCAGACTGGATCAGAATGTTATTCCAGTAAAAGTTAAGAATAGACATAACAATAAATCTTGACAGTAATTTTATTTTATTTCCTAGTGAAGTTCTGTTCCTGCAAATTTTATTCAGTTAAGTGAAACATAAAAATAGTATAGCATTTTCTTCACTTCTGGTGTTGGAGAATGGGGAGATTTGGGATTTAAATCTTAGTCAAATTAAGGAAGGGCTCAACAAATGAATAAGAGATTATGTAGGGTTGTCCCACAAGTCATTGAACTTGATCTGAACTGAAATTTGTGCTTTTTGTACTTAATGATTATATGGCTATTTTTATTTGGGAATGATTTATTTCATAAGGTTTGTATTATAGCTATTCTAAAAACAGAAATGGATTGCCCAGGATCATAGATGAAATCATTTTGATGGCAACTGTGACACAAAATTGCTGAAGGTATTACAATAATTTGTCCTTTAAATGCTGGCTTTGTGAAGCTTCTGATAATACCAAATAACTGGTAGATAGATTAAATAATACATTCTGAAAAATATATAATGGGCATTGGGGCCTCATTACATATAGGAAAAGTCAATATACTACAAATTAAATTTCTGGAACATATTATAAAAATGGATTCTCATCAAACCTAGAATTTTGAAGGATTCAAAAAACTATGTCTAAATAGCAATATATACAGCTAAAGTATTTGTCACAGTCATGCTCTGTGAAATGTAATATCAACTGCCTTGGAAACTTCTATGGATTTGAATGTGCCAGATCAAGACTTTTTTACAGAATAAACCAACAATGCCATTTCATACGCAATGAAGAAAAAATATTAGCAAGATAAAAGAAATTTGGAAGAGAGAACTAGATTTTTCTACATTCTAAAATCATTGTGTCTTAACATTTAAGACACAATGATTGCATAATTTTTAAAGAAATTTTAAATGTATTTATTACATTACTTTAAAAGCAAATATATAATTAATACTAGAGCTCTAGGAAAACTATACAGCCTAGTGATTTATTGTTTAATAAGACACAATGCTAAAAAACATTTACTACTGGAACAACTTTATGTAACACTAAATTTTGGCAAAAAGCAATGATTCTTAAAAGTATTGAAAATGACATTTTCTTCCTAGGATATTTCTGAAGGCACCCCTTACCTCCTGGTTCCTCATGCTGTAGATTAATGGGTTGAGCATGGGGGTCACCACTACATAGAACACTGAGGCCATTTGATCTAGGTTATAATTCTCCCTAGAGCTTGGCCGTGCATACATAAAGCCACCGCAGCCATAGAAAATGGTGATAACTATAAGATGAGATGTACAAGTGGAGAAAGCTTTTCTACGGCTCGTGGCAGAACGGATCTTTAAAATGGTGATCAGGATATAAGTGTATGAAGTGAGAATAGTCAGGCTTGTTATTGTTATATTGAGTCCTACAAATACAAATAACAGCAGATCGTTAAGACTGATATCTGAGCAGGAAAGAGCAAGAAGGGGAGGACTCTCACAATAAAAATTCTTAATGAAGTTAGGGCCACAGAATGATAGTTTAGACATAGCGATTATGTGTATAGAAGCATTAATGATCCCAGCAATATAGGAAATTGCTATCAGCCGAATGCATTTTCTTTGCGACATTGTGATTAAGTAGAGTAGTGGATTGCAGATTGCCACATAGCGATCATAGGCCATCATAGCTAAGAGGTAGCACTCTGTGGTGGCAAATATGGCATAAAAGTAAAGCTGAGTAAAGCAACTTGCAAAGGAAATTGACTTCTTCTCTTTTAAAAAATTGGATAACAACTTTGGGGTGACGGTTGTTGAATAACAGGTATCCAGAAAAGATAAGCTGGTAAGGAAAAAATACATTGGTGTGTGGAGTTGAGGACTGGTTCTGATTAAGATAATCATGCCCACATTTCCCATCAAGGTGATGGCATAAATAGCAAAAAATATCACAAAAAGGATCAGCTGCAAGTGTGGGTCCTCTGTCAACCCAGTGAGTATGAATTCTGTCACCCATGTGCTATTTCCCATTAACACTGTGAAAATAAAAGAAATACAGGACTCAATATTACATGTTCTCTAAATATTTCACCTACATAAGGATCCATTTTTGTGATCTGAAATAAGATCTTGGAAGGAGGATTAAAAATTAGATTCTAAGAAGATAAAACTAGGTATGTCAGTATTCTGATGATATATTAAAATATGATTTATTCATGATTATTATTGAAGAACAATCAAATTGAATGCCATAAGCGATAGGAAGCTAGCATTTGTGATCCAAAATAAGTCCTTAGAAGGAAGGCTTGGAATTATATGTATAAAGAATAGCTACTCCATCATTAATACAGAACAATTTTGAGATTCTTATACTATCCTGATAAATCCAAAAGCCCCCAAACATCCTCAACTTACCGAATTACTCTGAACTCAACCACATCTACAATAGTTTAACACATTCCTTCTTTTCTGGTTGTGGGTGGATTGCTTCTATGTGAAGTGAGTTAGGAAATTCTTGTGTGTGGGTAGAAATCCAGATATATTCCAGCTCCATCTGGCTCTAGGTCTTCTTATTAATTTGGTCAGAGCACTTTCTTGGCTGTCTCTGAAAGAGAATATTTTCCACTGGGAAACCTTGGTATTCCCTAAGTAGTTCTAATCTTAGACAAATGCTTTTTAGAAATGGCGGCTGCATGGTAACTTTTAGTTCCTCACCTGGAAGCTCCAATTATTAGATGTGTAATTAATATGTTTCCTTGAAACTTTTATTCTACATTTGAGAAGTTGAAATGCAGCTGAAGTAATTAATATGATGAGGTTGGTGTGCAAACAGACATACTACTAAAACTTTTATTGTTTATCTGTTTGTACCCTCAAATGCATTATAGCACAATTGTGCATTATAGCACAATTTTACAAACAAGGTACCTAAAATTCATTCCTGAAAGAATGTAAACAGTCTGGGATCCATTACATCAGGATGTTCAGACATGTTTTATTCACAATGGCTGCTGCAGCATCCCTGCGGTCCTGTAAACACGTTTTCCATGTTCCTTGCCAGCTTCCCGCAAGCAAAGTCAATGGGGAAATCAGCTGAAACTTGGAAATTATTCCTGCTTTTTGCCTACACATAGGCATTCTATTTGTTTGTTTAGGTAATAAATTATTGACTTATTATTAAAGTTCATTTGCCACTACAATTATTTTTCTATTTATGATATTTAGTCATTTTAGATGACCATCTGGCAGTGGGATATAAAAATTATGGTCAACCTAATTTTGCCTTGTGGAAAGAAAGGGGGCATCTTGTTCAAGAGATGATACCAAATGTCATTGAGGACCCAGAAGATCACAGGTTACCTAGTATATTCTATACTTTCCACAATATAACATAGGTATTTCATCTATGGATTTGTTCCCTGTTCACAGTATTACAGGTAGTCCTTGACGTATGATGACAATTGAGCCCAAAAGTTATGTTGTTAAGTGAGACAGTTGTTAAATGAATTTTGCCCCTTTTTACAATCTTTTCTGCCACAGTTGTTAAGTGAATCACTGCAGTTGTTAAATTAGTAATGTGGTTGTTAAGTGAATCTGACTTTGCTTGTCAGAAGGTCATAATAGGTCAGTGATGGTGAACCTTTTAGAGAGCGAGTGCCCAAACTGCAACCCAAAACCCACTTATACATCATCAAGTGCTGTGTGGGTGTGGCCCATTGGCTGGGTGTGACCAATTATGTGGGCATGGCCAATTGGGTGGGCGTGGCTGCAGTGGTAACAGCAGACTGGATGGGACTAAAAAATTCAATCGATCAATTCCAACTTTGCAAAATCTTTTTTTCCCCGTAGCAGTTGAAATTGACTGATTGAACTTTTTTTTTTTTTTTTTTTTGCACACGGAGGCGGAGGCCTAAAGCGAAAAGGTTTTATAAAACCCAGCTGAAGTCCTAGGACTGGGGCGACAGTGCATGTGCCCACAGAGAGGGCTCTGAGTGCCTCCTCTGGCACCCATGCCATAGGTTCGCCACCACTGTAATAAGTGATCACATGACCCTGGGACACTGCAACTGTCATAAATATGAGCCAGTTACCAAGCATCTGAATTTTGATCACATGACCATGGGGATGATGTAACAGTCATAAGTGTTAAATACAGTCATAGATCACTTTTTTCAGTGCCAGTGTAATTTTGAACAGTCATAGTTGTAAGTTGAGGACTACCTTTATTTATGAGTGATTGCATATATATTGATTTGTATTTAGAATCATAAGGCTGGAAGGGACATTGGAGGTCTTCTAGTCCAACTTCCCAGCCAAAGCAGGAGACTTTATTGCATCCCAGACAAATGGTTGTTCGATCTTTTCTTGAAGACTTCAACAATGGAGCACCCACAACTCCAGGAAGTGAGCTGTTCCATTGATTATTGTCAGGAATTTCTCCTTAGTTCCAGGTTGGATCTGTCTTTAATGAGGTTCCACCAGTGTTTCTTGTATTGACTCAGTATGGCCTCACTAGTGCAGTATAGAGCAGTATTATCACTTCTTGTGATCTTGGTGCTGTCCCTTTATTCATGCAGCCTAGAACTGCATTGACTTTTTTTGTCAGCTGCAGCACACTGCTGGCTCATATTTAAGTCACTGTCCATTTGGACATCAAGATCCCTTTCACAGTTGCTACAATTGAGCCATGGATCACCTATTCTATAGCTGTGCATTTGTTTTTTTCTGCCTAAGTGCAGGGCTTTGCTTTTCTCACCAATTAACTACATCTTACTGGATAGATCCCAATGCTCAAGTCTATCAAGATTCTTCTGAACAATGAGTCTATCTTCCAAGGTGTTGGCAGTTTCCCTGATGAGTTCCCATTCTATACCATGACCTGGATCATTTATGAATAGAAGAGCACTAGGCCCAAAATTGAACCTTGAAGTACCCCACTGCATGCTTCCCTCCATATAGATGTAGTTCCATTAAGGACTTTATGCTGAGTGTGGTTATTCAGCCCACTGCAAATCCATCTCTGGTGGTACCACATTGTTCTATTGTAGCAAGAAGTAGGCTGTGATCTACTTTGTCAAATACCTTACTTACATACTTGTCTAAAGTGGATATATTTTTTAAACATATTTTGATCTGCATTCCTGTTCTGTCTCTCACTGTACTGCTTTTTATGAGTTGGGCTATTTTTTTCCTTTTGTGTAAAGACAGATGCAAAGAAGAAATTAAGCAGCTCCACTTTCTCCCTGTTGCCTGTCACCTTCTTGCCATCATCTCCCATTAGTGAACTAATAATTTTATTGAATTTTTTTGTTCCTTATATATTTTTTTTTCAATGGGAAGAATAAAAATTTTATGAGGTGTACAGTTTCACCATCAATCAGAATATAACTTACATGCTACAGACACAGTTGCAGGCCTGCTGATTATTGCACCAATACTGTTATTAGCAACACACTGGTAGGTTCCCGAATTTGAAGGACTAAGAGAGAAAATGGTAAGGGATCCTGGCTGTGGGTCTACTTGCTCTATTTTCTTTCTTTTTTTTTTTTTTTAATTGAAAATTTTTACATTTTACAAAAACAAATCCCCTTCCCATACCCCCCCCTACCTCACCCCCCCCCTTCCCAACCTCCCAACCCCTCCCCTGGACTTCCCAGAGCTGAGTACAGGCTTAATTAAAAAAAAAAAAAAAACTTAAGACACTTTTAAAACCTAAACAAATTTAAATACAATCATCATTCTATATAAGCTCCCTCCAAAAACACAAATTTAAACATTACTTTCTTTGAATATCTATATCTATAGTATAAAATCTAATTTCTCCCTCTTTCTTTATCCTAAAACGAAAAAATAAACATACAAATCTTTGTTATACCATTAAAGCTAAATACTCTTAAAGAACTTAAAGTAAGTCCATATTTCCTTCAATCTTCATAATCTTCTCTCCTATCCAAAAAGAAAAAAAAAAAAACAAAAACTTAAAAAACCTATAAGTCCTAAACAAATCTAAGCACATTTAATTAAACAAATTATTTTGTCTTAAAAATATTAATAATAATATTTAAAAACTAAAAACACTTTTAAATCCTAAACCAATCTAAATACAATCATCACTCTATATAAACTCCCTCCAAAACCACAAATTTTTAAAATTTAAAACATTAGAATCCACTCACTAAAATAAGCAAATTATAATCCCTTCAAAACACAATTTTAAACAATATTATCATTAAAGGTTCAAAACTTAAAACAACAAAGTTAATAAACACATTAAACATTTCAATCTTCACCAATAACTAATTCCATCCGTAAAATACTACATCCTTATCAATCTCAATTATATTAGTATTATTAATTATTCACATTCCAGTTTTTTCCATTCTCCATTCTTCCATTCTTCCATTTCCCTTCTCCATTATTGTATCAAACTCGTAAGAAATGCTGCAAGTTCTGCCTTAGGAGACTGCTCCAAAATTCCTGAATCTCCCATCGACTCCGAAGCCAATAAGGGTTCCTTAAAGTCCTCCTTGTATTGATCTTTACAATTGTAAGTTGTACAAGTTATCCTCTGCCCGTTCCTCTCTTGTTGATGCCCCTCAGACTGAGATTTCTCAATTTCCATTTCAGGCAACAATTCCACCCTTAAAGATTGCTCCAAAGACTTTGTAGGTCTAACATCTCCCAGAGAGTCAGAAACCACTAAATATGAAACTTCCTTAACCTTCTTCTGTTGCTGCTTTTCTTTGGGATTATATACTGCACAAGTTGTCTTCTGCTCCTCAACCTGGACTTGTTGAGGCCTCTCACACAAAGATTCTCCAGTTTTCATAAATATAGGCTCTTCAAACTGTGATTCTACATTCTTTTCTTCCAAAGCTTTAAACTTAATTGATGGCGATGCACATACCCCCAGGACCGAAGTATAAAAATCTTTTGCTTGAGAAACAGGATTAAGTCTATAACATGTCCCCAGGTAATTCACCACCATTCCAATCGGAACATCCCATCTGAATGAAATTTTTCTCTTTTTAAGTTCATTTGCTAAAACAGCAAACTCCTTTCTTCTTCTTAAAATTTTAGATGGGATCTCTTTAAAAATTATAACATCTTGTGAAGCAATTTGAAATCTCTTCTTATAATAGGCTTGCACAATTTCATTGCGTAAAGATCTTTTACCAAAGTAAATTACCACATCTCGTGGCAGATTCTTCTGTGCTGCCACCACAGAGTTAACCCTAAATAATTTTTCAATTTCACTAAGTATTCCCTCTTTTTCTTTATTCAGAATCAATGCAAAGTCCTTTGCAACCATCTCCTTCAGATCTCCTTGCAAAGACTCTCCCAGGCCTCTAATTCTTAAGGCATATTCCATTTGTCCATATTGAAGCATAAGAATCTCATTTTCCATTTCTTTTTCAATACTTTCAATTTTCCCCTCCATTATGTCCACTTTTTCAGCTACCTCTTCCACATGGGAGTTCACCTTTTCAAGAACAGAAGCAACACCTTCTAAAGCCAAAACAAAATCTTGTCTCAAGATCTTATT